TTCTGTAAAGTTGTACGCAGGTTGGGAACAACACTGTCTGCTGATGTTAAATTTGTTTATTACCAATATTTTGTCCTAAAATGTAAAAAAGACAGTTTTAAGTGACAGTTGCATAGTGACATCTGATGAAATCGCACGACATATGGTTTTGAGTAAACAATCTGTTAATTCGGTACCACTCTAACAATTAGTTAATGCCAACATATGATATAGTAACGACCTTTGACGACTTTGAAAGCGTTGTAGAATTTCGCAAACAACCTTTCTTTCAGTCTACAGGGAAGATGAAGGTGATAAAGTTAGATGCAATGTAGTGCTCACCGCAGCAAACGGGTTACTTAGGGGTGAGTTATGATGCAAGAATAAGCTGAAGTAGGCTCCCTATCACTTGCGTCCAAGCTAAAATTTCCATCTGAACTTGTTAAATTTACATATGTGCTAAGTGGACATAAACATAATATGACTACGTGCGATAACTGGTAGCATGGCTTAGACGTGGTATCAAAGCGTTGTAGAGAACATAAATCGCTTCTGTAAGGTTAAAGAAATTATTGTAAGCTACAATCCCACTGCCGCTCGAAACACCACTTTCGCTAATACAAGATTACTCTGGCTATAGAATTGAAGACTGGTAGCTCAGCTTGGCAATTTGGTTGCAAACGTTTCGCCATCAATCGAGGTGGCATCATTAGTGCGTATTTGATGGACGTGCAGTAGCGTAGAATAGCATACAGGAGCCTCGGTGAGAGATTACTCTAGGCAGTCCTGAACTGGGCATATACTTGTTGTACTTATAAATGCAAGGAGCTGTTTAAAACGACCGGATCGCGGTGGATTTCATACTGAACAAGCATACAAGTTCGGAATACCAATAAATCAAATGATTTGAACACCTCTTCATGCAGTCCGACTAGTTTCCTCTTATATTGACTGCTGGTTAGTGTTAAAGAGAAGTTCTGACACTATAAGGCAAATAACTGTCTTCTGCACTAGCGCGGGTGGGAGTAAGTCGCAGTTAGATTCTACTCCGCGCTGATCGGCTGTCACCCGCTATGGCTCAGCGGCATTAGCTGCTGGATACTGGGGCATCCACTAGCCAGCATGTGTTCAATCCATAGGACAGGGCCGAGGGAATGTAAATCACTAAGGAGCCCCTATAGGCGAAGGGACCGCTTTGTGCTTTGAGGTTTATAATCTAATTACTAGAAACTGAATAAAGATAATACCAAATCCGTCTATTCGTGATTACTTACATGCTGGAAGATCTAATAATAAGCGACATCTTACGAATTTGATTTAGCGCCACAAAAGCAGTTACTTCATTGGTTAGTGTGTGTTTTGAGGTGAATCCGAACTGAGCAGATAGCGCCACATCACATGGTCAACCGCAGGATTTCCACTTCTATATCAATGAAGTAGTTTCATATAGGTACTAACTGGCTTTACTCAAGTAAGAGACTTCATTTCTCAACAAATAGATTGTGTCGATGCTTCGTATATTAAGCGTATGATAAGGCAGATGTAGGCGACTTGTTTGACTGAAAAATAACATGTTTAGTTTCATTCACACCATGACTAAACTTAACCTTCTGTCGATCCTGATCAGATTCAAACTTGGTTCCGCAATGATGCAACAGTGCACATCGCATTAACATATCCACTGACGCCTTGCACCGTTAACGCTCATAAGCAATTACATGAATACATCTATGTATTTACTCCCAAACTAGATTCGCACTGACAGCATTTCTATGTGTACATACGGCCAATGTATCAGGATGGGCGTCACAGTATGTTCAGATGGATCTATGTTCCGTTGGGCATACGTCTCTAGCGTCCAGCTGAAAGTTGACTGGTTTGATTACTCACTGCCTTTCCAAAATAATACTTATATTTTCGAACGTCAAGACTTAAACATTAGCTACTGCTCAGGTAGAAGAATAATAAAGACTTATCAGCACATTTTAGTTGGAATAGTTAACAAATAACCAGGCGAAATTTTGATCAAAAGTTCGGAAAATAGCTTAGGGCAATGATATCTCTTTCAGTAGTTAGCTGCACCATGCATACCGGATCTTATTTATAAGGAGTAGTTAAAGGGGACGCACGCTGAAAACCACATACAAAACTGTGTACAAATAAAGCCATAATTGAAAGTTAAAGATGTCTATCAGCTTGAAATTTTACTTTGAGTAAGCTGGTTCTGCCAAAGATTATTTTCGGCGTGCGAGTCACTTACCTGACATTGATTAGTAGGAAAACAACTAAGGTGCATTTCGTCTGTACAAAGCTTTTGCTTTAGATAATACAATGTTAGGCCTCATAAATCGGTCTTTGGTTGGGATTGCGCTATCTTCTTGGATCGTGAGATTTGCGTGTATCTTTAATGGTACTTATCTACAACTGTGCATAAGGAGGCATCACTTATGTACATGGTTTTTATTGACCAGTTCCCTAAGTATTTTCGAACGTCACAAAAACATGTCTGATCAGCAAATGATATGGCCCAAACCACTGCTCAGTTACGACATATGCCAGCGCGAGCGTCGTTTAGCGAAATAGACTTACATTTCATAAGTTTTAGCAGAGGAGGTAAGACTGTGAATACTTAGTATTGAAACAATGCAGCGAGTACAGAAACTTCATAGCAACATCTAATAGATTTTAAACAGACCTATTTATTATGTTGGTGATTATTCTCGAAATCGCAAGTAGTCGAAGTGCGAGTCCAGGAGTTATTTATTCTCCGACTCCGACATTGCTTTGACCATGTCTGCAGGCAGGTTGTTCCAAATATTCACCACTCGCCGCTCGAAGCAGAGTTGGTGAGCGACCCACTTCAAATCCGGTACGACATGCTTATGCAGTGTCATCGTGTGCTGCTTGGTGTACGCAGATGAAACAGCGGCCTCAACATGCGGCAATCACCCAGATGTAATATCCGGATAGTAATCATGAGATAGGGTGTGCAACACCAGTCTCTTGCACCGGTCATCCTGTGGCACTCCTCGTAAACCGGGGTTCAGCCTGTGGCAACTTGCTGTACCCGCTCAGTCCTTTGCACTTCGACCAGGGTGAGTGGACAGTAGGCGGGTGAGCTCTACTCTAGCATCGGTCTGATGATAGAGGAGAAGCGTCGAGTGGCAACCTCTTCGGACCAAGTGCAGAAGCTGCGCTTGAGCGCCCAGAACATGTGCATTACGTTTTGGTAAAGCATGTTCGTGTTTTCAACGGATTTCAAAGCGTAGCGTGAGAGTACGCCGAAAACTTTCCCTGATGGCCAGATTTTAGACTCGGATAGTATCATCTTTGCCCAGGCTCATGAATACCGACTTGACCGTGTTGATCGGTAGCTTGACCTTTGCTGACCATATGGAGAGGCGGTCAAATTCACGCTGTAGCAGCTCGCAGTACTCTGGCGTCTCAATTATCCTTTATACCTTAAGGTCATCAGAAAACAACGCGCAAGGGGCAATATAAATAAAAGTCCACTAACGAAAATTCGAACCAAAACCGTTCCATTGTGCAGGAGAGGAAAGTCGACTCGAGCATGTTAAATTCATCCCATAGGCTTCTTTACATGGGAAAACCCAGAGTAGTCCAGTAGGTTTTAACAGCAAGGTAAACAAACACATTTGCATTAGGTTGTTAGGACAATAATTAGGTCGATCGTTATCATTTTCACAGCAACTTCACACCTAAGCCGCATAATCATTATATATTTTGACAAGGGATATATTAAGGCTTGCTTGTGAAAACGGTCGATTGATTCTACCCAGTAGTTTTGGTTGGTACCCGTTCAGATATGGGAAACGAAAAGCAGTCCTTTCGGCATATTTTACTTTCTTACTATCGAAAAGGTAAAAATGCTGTTTAATCAAGCAAAATTATTGGATGTGTACGAAGAAGATGTATTGACAGAACGTAAGTGTCCAAACTGGTTTCCAAAATTTTGATCCGGCAATTTTGATGTAGAAGATGCACCACATGCTGGAATGCCAGTTGAAGCTGATGCTGATACAATAAAGACATTACTTGATGCAAACCGCCGAATAACAACTATGGAGACGGCTGAGAGGCAAAATGTCTTGACTTCGAGCGTTCATGATCATTTGAAACGCCTAGGTTTATCTTAATGCTCCATAAATGGGTTTCTCATGTTCCTACGGAAGGAAATTTGTGCCGTCGCCTGGACTTCTGTGATTTGCTTCTCAAACGTCAAGAAAAGGGCCCATTTTGAAAGTGCAAGTTCACTGGGGATGAGAAATGCGCTGTCTACAACGCAAGATATAATGGAATAAAAAAGATGAGCGGGCGCAAAACACTTCGAAAGTGGATATTTCTCAAAAATTGGTGATGCCATCTTTTTGGTGGGATTACAAAGGAATCGGTTTTTTGAGCTCCAACCGGACAGCATGGCGATCAATTCTGAAGTGTGCCGTCATCAGCCGGACAAATTAACTGATTTTCTTAAAAGGAAAAGTGCAGGACTGATCAATGGAAAAGGCCTAGTGTTACACGAAGATAAGGTGAGACCTCACGCAAGTTTGGTAACTTTCCAGAAGCTTTTACTACTTGTATGGGAGATACTGCCGCACCTACCATATTCTCCAGATTTGACACCTAATTATTACTTGTTCCAGTCGCTACAAAACATTTGGGAAGGTAAAACCTTTAGTTCAGATGAGGATGTCAAAAATACCGAATCAGTTTTGGGCAGAAATAACAAAAGATTTCTGAGCTACTGTCAGCAATATGACAAAAGTTGTTGGACGAGAATGGACAATATGTACTCCAAATTTATTCAGTATAATAAAACGAAATTATTCTCCAAACAACCAGATAGCTTCCGTATTGTATTGGTCTAAAAATTACGGATGTTTTTCTTTGTCCTTGCGCCTGTTGTTACCTTAACTCGAGAAGGTCTTATGCGACGTTTTCCCTATTTACTGTTAAAAGGAATCGAAATATCAATCGAATCAAACATTTTGTCTTTTTAGTTGGGCAATATAACAAACAAAGATTTGCTGGGTATCGTAGCGGCCGCAGAGAAAACAGTTTTTCGTGGTAAGCCAATTTTTTAACGTTCGGTTGGTACGATGTAAAACGTACTTTTGAAGAGGTTATGAATAGAATCGCACAGGAAATACAGACGCATCTGTTTGGTTTCTTCCGATAAACATACTTACAGGTAGTTTACACTGGTGAACAACAAGCATTGAACAGCATCCTGTTCAGCACCATATCCCAGTGGTTTATACGTGCTTGCTTTTCTCTATCATAGGTGATTACAATAAAAAACATTTACAGTACTTACCTTTGCATTATTCAGATTTTGTCCCTTTGTTTCCTTCCAAGGAAACGCTAAATCGCATGTAACAATGATGCAGGTCCGTGCGTTCGGACCATGTAAGCGGAATTTTCACACCTACAAATCGACAGAAATTTGCAAACCCTTATAAAGGAATCGGATAATTTTTCTCCTACTTAGGGCTCGAGAGTGACACACTGTCCATCTGATCGATAGTCTCTTTGAAGCCAAAGTATACAGGGGCTTTAAACTCCGGCATATGGTAGATATCAACATTCGACAATTCTCGGTAAATAGCTTTTATGTAACGCGGCTTACAAAGCACGTAATTTCGGGTTACTTGTTTGAAAATCACTAGGGGTTCATTATAAACAATGCGCTTTACAAGACGCTAATAGTGAATTATGTTTCTCCCAGCTGAACACTTAGACAGTCACTACCATAAGGGCTGTCAGTTCCTCAGTGAAACAACCAAACACACTTCCAAGGAGGGTGGGTCACGCCACACAAAATTTGCACTCAGTTGTGTCTACTGCTGGCAATGAACCGAAGCGTACGGTTGTGCTCACCAACCGCTGAGTTTCCATCTCGAGCCCTACATATTGGCAAACAGTTACTGATAGCTCGCACTCCTCGGAACGAATAACTGGCTATCCACTGTCGCTTCGAATGTTGTTGTCATCAAAATTTGCTTACTGGAGGTGCATTTACTGTACCAAGTTTAAATTGATTAAGAAAAGCCAGTCATTAGGCACAGTTGGTCAGCCGTCTAGTTATACCACCATCTCGGATACAACGGATTCTTAAATTCGCATGAACTAAAGCAAACGTTTTCCTTGATAGCTAACCATGCACTGTAGCAAAAAATAAATTAACAGCGAAATGAAATTTATTTACTTGCGTAGTACTGAAATGGCAGATACGCGTGTAGCCAATGATTCCGCTGATACCCTAAGTAGACGCTAGTTAGACGGATAAACATACGCTGCTACTAACTTCTAGTTCTCGGCGCACTCGGTGTGAAGCTGTGCTGATGAATGCCAGTCTAAAACGGACAGCAATCATATTTGGTCAATACGATCACTCTATTAGCGGTTCCCCTCTCATTTCACGTTGTCTCTACCAAAGGATAACAAAATAATGAAATATGCATTAGTGAATTGTAGTGTTTGCTGTCACAACTAACAACCCTCCAAGTCTAATGGGACTGAAACATCAATGGCTTCAAGCATACAGTGTCCATTAGTTAAAATTTGATGTGCAAAATACCATCCCACTTACCCCATATGTTGGATCAACCTGGCTTACTCTTTTCCCCTAATCCGCACGAATATCTAGTACTACGCCGAGCTTGATTATAATGCAAGCTAGCATTTTGTAGCCTTACGATGGAAGTCGTGCCTGTGGATGGCGGGTCGGTTCTTTATGCGTCATTGTGCTGCATAAAGTGTGGCTTGAGAGGCGCTATATAGCAGCTACTAACCACTCATGAGGGTCAGCCTGTACCCACTGGTACCTAGCATTTTAATTACGCCCACTGCTAAGAGTGAACTCATTGAATAAATCCTGCAGGATTAGGCGATACACGCTTCAGTCCACTTTTAGTAGAGAAAAACTGTCATATGCGTTTACAGTGCCTTTTTGGATATTTGGTGGCTGTCTGGCTGAGTGTTCCTGCAATTTTCTTTCCCAAAACTTAGGAAAGCACTCTAATGTTTCACCATCTTAAGGAGCTTGAGCATAACGAATTCAAGTTTCAAATATTTTATCAATCACATGTGCCATTCACTGGGACTGTAACATCAAATGGATTAAGCTTAGTGTGATTATGCCGTGCGGCTTTTCCATTTCAGGTCAGAGGTTTCACCTAAAAGGGATTGAACTCCACTCTCTTCTGTCGTCCACTTTGGAATATATGACCTACGACGGATCACTTCCATTTCCAGGCTGTCATGAGACTGTTACATGGATTATTTTAAATCACCCCATATCTATCTCAGAGACAGAGGTAAGCAGCATTTAGATGCTCACCACATCAGGCGAATTTCGGGGTTACTCAGTGGCTTAGAAGCGATGCGTTCTGCTTTTGAGTAATGGGTTAAATTCCATTGCCTCATTTGTTCTTTTTCAAGTAGTACGTAATTTTTAACTGGTTCGCAGACATTGAAGCAGAAGTCAGAATATCCGCACAAAGTCCGATCTCTCTGACTGCCTATACTTCCTTCCACTGACACACTAGTAGACTGATTGACAAGTTTTGTTCTGTCACGGGTCACACTATGCAATTTCTCATTTCAACAAGATAGGCTTAGGGTCACCCTGTCTATAATGAGCGCAGGTTAAAGAACGGATGTAAATTACAGCTGTGGGGCGAAAATTTAATGAGCTACGTACTTCTCCGGTGTTTGTCAGCACCAGGCACAAAGCAGTTTAAATCAGAGCGTTAACCGAACGGAACAACTCAACCTATGTTTCATGCCCTAATCGCTTCCCCCTCCTCCAATGATATTGAGTGTCATATCGTGAGTAAAATATCGGGAACTTGACTTTGAAATGTGTCGAAAATACGCATCTGTGATAAGTTTCAACAATCTCGAGTAAGCTACAAATTTATTGCTGATATGAGAAACTGTTTGATGCAGATATTGGAAACTGTAACATGTTGCCATCTACATCTTTCTGCAAGTGTTGTAGTAACTAAGTTGTTTTTGTAGCCTAACATTACAATCGGTTTAGTGATACTGGTCAATTAAACATTCCTACCTATTTTATGCCACGAAAATATAGAATTATCAGAGAGTAAATAAGCCTGCTTTCATGTCACTGTGACTGGTCAAGGATCTACTCGAAAGAATAGTGTCATTATGCTATAACTGGTGAATGCAGGTGAGAGCGCAAAGGAGTGTCGTAGCTCATTAAGCACCTGAATTACCTATTTAGCAGAAGTGTGATGACATAACGTTCCAGTGTGATGTACTGCAAAAGTGCCCAGTCACATGTCTGCCGCACATCTAGCAAAGGGATGCATAGTATGCTAGCCCATCGGCAGCCCAACTGGAAGCTGGAAATTCCCATTACTAAGCTGTCACGATGCATTTAGGTATTTGAATGAACTAGGAATGACAACAGAGGTCAGCAAAGAATGAATAGCCAGCTGTGACCTAAGGAGTTCTCAACTGCACTTTCACCCGTGTCTCTGTTGTAGTTAAGATAGACGGGTCCAGGCAAAGATGCTCCCAGTAAGTTGCGACTAGCCTTTTAGCATTGTAGATCGATATAGCAATTATCAGCGTCGCAGAATTACACGATAAATCCGAAACATTCTGGGAGGATACATTGCAATTCGACCCGAGTAGATAACAGCGACCCATCCTTATTCGATAGTTAATCTTATGTTTCAATTGAACTTTGAGTAACTTCTTGGAGTTGCTGAATGCTGGATCAGTAGTCAATGCTTAATCCTTTTGTCCAGGATAGAAAAGAAATAATACTGTTAAATTAATAAACTCTGTGGTGATTTAAAACGGCCGCGTTTGTTTGAATTATGGTGTGAACTTCTCAGAAATCGGGAATCAACACGTCAGTCCATTACAGAGGGCTTTCGGGTGGTTCAGCCGCTCAAGTTACCGCAAATGTCCAACCCTTAAGTAAAATTTCATGCGGAGTACACGTTTTAGGCATGCCAAAGCTAACTAAAACGCAGTCTGGATACCCTCCATTCCTCATAGATTCGGGCAGCCAAAAAGGTGAAATACTTTGCTATGCCTTCCGTAGCAACTGTCTGAAAACCCTAGAAGTTCAAGGTGTAGGTTATCGCCGTCTGCGGAACAAATACATTTTACATAATTGATTTTGAAAAGCCCCATTTACGTTGGCCAACACCTGATGTTTAGCTGAAGCAAAACACTAAGAGGTAACTAACTGAAACTGGCCACCAAGTGCAGCAGCTTGGAATGCCGTCGGATTATTCTTTATACCGAAATCATCACCTTGCGGTGCCAGTTCCAACGCTGTCGGTCATCGCGAAAATGTATTCACATTTGGTATGTGTTACGGTAGTGTCCATCTTTCATGTATTGGACTGTCGATAAAGTGTGATCCATATTTTTACGAAATCTAAAATGACTCTGTGCAAATTTGGTTCAAGAATTACCGAAACAAGCTGCATCTGGCAAAGTAGAGAAGAGTCAAAAGACGTCGGGTAGGCTAAATCAAGCCGTTGCGAGCAGCTTCTTGTGTTCGGCCCAACAATCTAGGCAGAAACGACTCCAGGTTTTACATGAGACTTCAAGCTTGTAGCGTGCAAACACACCGGCAGTGAGTCCCGCCTTTGCGGACAGTTAACCTTAAAATGATAAGAATACTGTATGTGTGTTTTGTGTTACTAGCACAGTTATCCTAGTATGTGAAATTCTGTGTACTGAAGACCCGTGGAAAGTGTGAGGAACAAAAAAGAAAAAAATGAGAAGTGTTCAGCGGCTGTAAATCAATGGTTGGCCAAAAGGGGATAACACTCCCCCTACAAAATCAACTTTGTCCGAGCAGAGGCATTTTAACATTATAACCTCACACACCTCTTTCTAGTTATTTGACTCACTAGATGTACTACAATCATGACGCCAAGTTTATTCAAACCTAATTGATAAGCTTCCCTAAGTGAGTGAGGATGGGTTGAAAGTGAGGTAAATTAACCGTCCTAGTAGGCAATGTAATCACCAAAGATGGCAAATGGGGGTCCTTTTTATAATAAGCCAGTCCAAGGTTGATCTTGTCCAGTTTAAATAGGCTGCAAGGTTTAAATATCCATGTTCTTATAGGTCTAGATCCGGTGGATCTAGAAAGTCTAAGTCAGCCATTACTGAGCTGAACTGACGAAACGTTGATTGGGAAACAAATCGTATCTGATTGGAGGGTTAATTTGAGTTATTCATTGTATGGTTGGGTTGCAAAGCACAATCACAATGTGGACCGTGTTTCGCATTGAAGGAAACCATGGCTAATACGATCACCAGGGCCGTAGCTGATGAGGCAGAAGGAAACTGGGTGTTGCCAGCCCGTAAACACTGCACTCCAGTACACGTTTCAATCCTGTTTGTTCTCATCAGATAGAGATGGCAGACCTAGAACCCAAGACCATTGCGATTTTATTTGGACCTTTATGCCTTCAGTCACCGGGTCTCGACAGGCAACGCTTGACAAAACGGTTAACGAATGAGTGAAGCGTTATTTCGAAGTATTCTCTGTGAGATTGGTTTGCCCCCTCGAAATCTCACAGAGCACACTGCTCTTCATTACTCGGAGGTTAAATTGTGGTGGTCCAAAGTAACATCCCGTTTGTTCCAGGTTCGAGGCCTACCATCTTTACCTGATGAAGTCAAACAATTGCTGGAGGCACCCAATTTCCAGGAATCAATTGGGCATTTTATCCATGTAATGAAAACGGCACTAATATAGCGATGACAGAAAAATTAACGGCAAGAACTAATTGACTAGGACACTCGAGTTACCCTGGTAAGGACCGAGCGATTGAAAAATGAAAGCAGGTGCATCACCATTGTCTTTGTTGTGACACCTCAGACAGTGTTGTAAGTACAGCAGTTCACATCCAGATGGATCACACACACCAGCGCATCATACATTTTCGGTCGTTTCCAAGACTCCACGAAGCAGGATAAACAGGTTGCTCAAATTTCAAGCAGTTCCGGTGGTTTCTGCTGCGGTCTGCGTGTAGCCTTTACTAAGGTTCGTAGTCATAGGAACAAAGGTTGCGTCTGAGAGAACAGACATAGTGAGAGTTGCAGAGATGTGGTTGATTTCTGAGGTGATTGTCCATGAAATCGAACTCAGTGGCTACTCATGTTTCCCTTGCGATAGACTACCGACGGCCCTTGGTGGCGTCATACTCCACATCCGGACTTCCCTGGGTGGGAGATTTGCGAACATCTGCAGAATACAAGAGGGCCTGTGTGCGCAGCTGTGGTGCTCGATCCACCTCGGGTGCGGGGAGCTGCTCGTGGGTGCATTTTCTCGCAGTCACTTTAATACTATTTGCATTGGCTGCCCCATCTCCGAAGGCACACAAGTCGTTCCGATTTTCAACTCATGGGTGATTTCCATTGTCCTCGAATACGGTGGTCTGAAGATGAACTCGTGACTGGACATAGCAAGGTCGAAACAAAGTTCGTGGACTTAATACTTGGAAGTGGAGCAGCGCAACACTTATACCGGCCGACACGCACGACGCAACATTCAACTCGGTCTTGCCTAGGCTTGAGGTTAACAAGCTGTGAAACATAGGTGTATGCCGTTCAGATCCTGGAGCGGTAAGTAGCAAATGACCACTTATTGCTCTTTGCCAGCATGGATCTGCATTTAACGTATTCGCATCCGCTGGAGCCAGGTTGCAACTTGTAGAAAACTGGCTTCGACAGTCTAACTCGGGCTGCCAGTCTAGTGCACTGGTCGTTACCGCAGGCTACATCGGTGGAAGACTATTAGACAGTTTAAAACTGGAAGTGACATTGCTCTCTTCTCGGATTGTGCCACTTAAGTGTCAGACAGGTGAGCCAATCTAGTCACAGTGGTTTGACAAGGAGTATGATAAAATGGCCTAGCAGCGGCACAGTCTGTGGGACAAGTTCCTCTTTTCCGGCTTTCGCAACGAACACGAAGCGTATGAAAGGTAGCGAATGTTTGTAACAGTGCAAAATTGCGCAGGCGCAGATATTTACGAGAGTAACTTGCAACCACGGCAAAGGTCGCCCCAAAGAGAATCGTTGATTACGTGAAGCGGCTCCCGAAGCCTACGATCGACTTACCAGTGCTAGAGGGTCCGAAGGGATAGCCCAGAAACTCCGCACGTTGGCTGAGCACTTAGCTTACATGTTTGCAAATGCCCTGGGGTCAGTACAAAGTTCGCTCTGTACTGTGCCTATCGAACTACGCATTTTTGGATTGTGGTGTTGAAGAGATGCATCAACTACTAACCAAACTTGACGACCTCAAACC